GTATTATCTTTTACTTGTTTTTGTACCTACACCTTTTATTGACTCTACTAGAGAGATAGTAATTATGATGGTGAAACATGTTATTGCACGGTGTGGTGCATAGCAGGTTTGATATTCTTGGTTTCACCTTGGACTGCAGCCTGGTGTGAATCCAGGGGCGCCACATATCCAAGTTTAGAGTACTTACCGTATTTGGCAATCACCAAACAATGGAGAGCAAAATACTCATCTATTTCTATAGGCAAACAGTGGTTAGAGTTCTCCAAGTAGAGGATGACAACATTGCAAAATATAAATTTGACTTCGTTCCTTTCAATGAACTATACTTACATAAAGATAAGAATACTTATCTAAGAGGTACTCTAACCAGTGGCCTTATTTGTTTTACAATTGCTAATACATGAACATGAATACTAAGCGATTATGAATATACTATAAAAGGCATTTCAAGCATTATGAAGGAAGTCTATCCGATAGGAGAGTCAACAAATTCTGGGAAAATGTCGACACGTAGATCTATTAAACTAACAAATGAAGAGTAAGACTGTATTATAACTTAGTGAGAAATTCAAAGACATTTTTATCATTAATATGAATCATTATTTCTTACAGGGATGAGGAGTGTATGGTCACATTATGGAATAAACTGGCAATTGAATTTGACTCCAAATTTAAAGATCATGATACAAACAATGTGGTTATGGTGGTGACTGGAGTTTAGTTAAAAACTTCAAAGGTAATTTTGTTATCGACGTCCATTGGATTTTTAACATTTAGCGCTATAAATATTCATTAGCCTTTGTATGCATATACTGATACATAGGTAACAATACGGTTTCATCAACGACAGCAACAAAAGTGTACTTTAAAATTGATGAAGTAAGAGTTCAAAAATTACTACAAAGGTGAGAAGGTTACAAAATACATTATTGAAATTTTTGTGAAACATAACATTTGAATTAACGAATTACGAACTATCTACACTACTGATAATAACTTTTTTATTATACATGTAGGAATACTCACAGTGAGAACAACTTATAGTTAGTGACTTCGTCTGTGAATTTCTCTGATACTCAACCAGAAACAATAAAGGATTTGAAAGCAACAATTTATGAAGTTGTATATTTCGATGCTCCAGGAACTTCATAGGTGATGCAAATCTATCAATTTTTTCAAATTATAAAGAAATCGTTGCTGACTACATGATAAAACTAGCTCTTTCAATTATAAAAGCTATATGATAAAACCAGCTCTTTCAACTATATATGTCAATTAAAAAATCTACTAAATAGCACCAATTCCTACACAAATTAGAGCTAAACAAGCTCGAATTCATCACCAAAATCTATGAAGACTTACTAGGGCTCAGGATATAAATAGATTGGTCATAATAGATTGTCTCTCCTATAAAACTATGACGATGCAATGTAGGCTACTATTATGAGGGATTACATCACCCAAACATTGTAATATCAATGTTGGTTGCATTCTACACAAAATTGCCTCGCCTAAACATTACATTATTAATTAATATAGGATGCATTCTTAGTTTGTTATCATCATCACTGCCCATCGAAAAAACCATAAACCAAAAGAACACATACCAAAATTGAGTACCAAAGAAAGCCATCCGTCATTAAGCTCAAACCGACCATTATATACCACAAGAAGCAAAGAACCAATACCTCAATGTGAGCACAAATGGCCTACAATAACAATTAGCAACAATAACCAGTAAAGTCTTCTGAGGTAATAATTTATGAAGATGTATATTTCATTGCTCCAGGAAATTCATAGGTAATACAAATCTATCAATTTATTCAAATTATAACTACATAATTGTTGACTGCATGCTAACACCAGGTCTACAACTATTATACGAGTACTTTTTCATACACAATGTGCAAATATTAGAGTTGTGAAAGAGCTGGATTGACGTTATGTTGGATGTCCAGATTGTGACAAAAAACACCATCAACTTTGGGGAAAGTCTGGTGTAGGTCATGTAATAAGGAAGTAATGGCACAAATCAGGTACACATTCAAAGCTACATTTCCTATTCATAGTTAGAAAGCACACGACATTTTATTTAATATATTTACCATGTTCATAACTATATAAATTAGGTACAAAGTTACAATTGAAGTGAAAGATAATTCCGCAATTACGACATTTGTACTCTTCAACAAAGAAGATGAAAAGTTGATCAAGAATTCTGCTTATGATCTGGAAAAAACACTAAAAAGGTACTTAATTTATGCATGTAACTTAACATTGATATTCTAAGTATCAGCGAACGTATGTAATAGGAGTGTTTATGTGCTTTAGGTAAATGAAAAGAGGTTTTTCATGATATTATCCTAAGTATAATTGGAAAGAAAGCAAAAGTTCAAGTGAGGTCAACAAGATATAATTATGCAGAGGGTAACGAGGGATTTACAATTTCAAAAATTGTTGATAAAATTCATGAAAACAAGCAACATGAAGACAACAACATAAGCCAGGACATCGTAAGATTTTTAAACTATTCTTGAAATATTAATAGGTATTGATAACATAAAGGATTTTTATTAATTATTTCATTGTATTGTTGTAGGATTCACAGGAGTCAACAATTATAAATCGTACTGATGAGATTCCTCCAGCAACACCATTCCAGAGTTAAACACAACGGCCAGATTTCACTCCAATATTAAAACCACTACTTACTCCAAAAATTGAGAAAAAAAATAAAAGTAACCCATTGAAGTTTAGCAACTTGAATGACATGCCAACCGACAACGTTCAAGAAACAATCAAAGCACCAAACGAGCAAATTTTAATTACTTTTTTCATGTTTACTTCTAATTATCATAAACTATTACGATTATACTAATATTTTTCCTTTTCCTTTGCCTTAAAATTCCAAATAATATAAATATATATTCTCATATACTCATGGCAAGTGATGATGAGGAATAAATTTAATAATAGAGATATCAACTACTTACAAATATATCAACATGTAAAATAAATGGCAATGACATGAACGACAAAGGAAAAATGAATAATAAGATGCCAGAATAACATGCTAATAAGATTGCGAAGAATTCAACTATTTAAAAGGATTTTAACTTGCAGAATAGCATGATATTTGAAATGCAAAACTAAAAAAATAATAGTTTAATCCAATACTACATAAATCAACTCCTAATTATAGATATATAAAGCATCAAGTAAACCAAGAAATTACCATGAATCAAAGATTCAATTGCTTATAAAGAGATGAACATGCAACTTAAAAATGACACAGATCTTGAACAAAGAGGCTGAAATTTGATGGATCAAACGTGTAGTAGAGGAATACACCATCAACTTCAAAGATTCTTCAAAGATTCCATATGTCGATGATCTTTTAATTGCATAAGAAGAAGGGATGGACTAAACCGAGGTTTTTCCTCAGAGGAAGGGATGACCTAAATTAGGATTTTCTCTGATCTAGGGAATCGACGGATCTAGAAAAGAAAACGACAAAGAGGAAATGGATGGAGTTAATGGGGGTTTTCTCCGATCCAGAAAATCGACGGATCTAGAAAAGAGAACGACAAATAGGAAAGGGATGAAGTTAATGAGGGTTTTATCCGAGGCAAGGAATCGACAGGTCTATAAAAGAGAACGACAAAGAGGGAAGGGATGACCTTAATGGGGTTTTCTCCGAGGCAAGGAATCGACCGGTCTAGAAAAGTTTAGGCTTTTACAAATAAGTCATTCACATTTGAATAAATTGCATATAATTACATATGTTGTTGTAAAGTAAAAAAAAAATCAAATATTGTTTACAAAGAATACACAATTTATTAATTTTTGGCAAATAAGTCATTCCAGTATAACAGAATTAAGTTTTGCTTAATTCTTCGCATTAATTCTCAGTAATATACAACTTGCTCTTTACAATATATCATATAATAATAATAATCGATAATTTATGAATTAAATGTATTATTAAATAACACTTTGTTTATGTTATGCACTATATGCATTTCGAGTTCTAAGTGTTAACAATATTATATTGTATGCTAAAATCAATATAGCTGGACGTAATATTAACGTCAATAATACCCGATTTTTTGCTAGGCCATACTAGCATGAGAATTAATTAGAAACTACTCGTGAGAATTAGGGGGTGTTTGTTTCAAATCCTATAATTTTAGGATATGGATTTCACCATCGGATTTAAAATTCATAGATAATTTGTTATAGATTAGGATTCCTAAAACTTTGTTTGTTTCAACAATATTTTGGGATTTGGAATACTATAATTTGTAATATTTTTGTTTGTTTCAAACTTTTTGGAATTTGAAATCCATAATTTGTATAAAGCTTTTGAAATCCACCTCACATTCCATATGAAAAAGAGGATTTTACAAATCCTTAAGTATATTACTTTTTTATTATTTAAAAATTTAATATTCTAAAACTTATATTTTAAAACAAACAAGTTTTATAGAATTCTAAAGAAAAATTCCTCAAGGACCCAAAATATGAGACCAATAGAGGGGACAAGTGAGGTGTCCCCCTCTTATTAGATAATGAGTTGGCCATCATTAATGATGACCAACTCATTATCTAATAGGAGGAGAGCACCTCACTTGTCTCTCCTATTAGGGGCTGTTTGGATTGATTTTTTAGGTAGGTAAAAGGGTGGAAAGTTACCAAAAATGTCAGCTTTTTGACAGCTTTCCCCCAAAATCACCTTTTATAGAGGTGATTTTGGGGGAAAGCTGCCAAAAAGCTGAACATTTTAACAGCTTTTCTTCCCTCTTCTTATCTATCTAAAAAATCAATCCAAATAACCTCTCAGTCTCATATTTTGGGTCCCATAGCAAAGCTCAATTCTAAATCACGAAAATACACGTCACAAAACTTGAAATCCACCCCATATAAAACACCCCTTAGAAGTCCTAATAAACAGCATAAACCTCGTCCCCAAATCAACCCCCCCCGCCCCCCCTCCCGCATAGAGCCAGCCAAACCCTCACAATCGATGGCCGGCGGGGACGCCCCCATCGCGGAAGCGGCGCCTCCTCCCCTCCACCGGCCGCGACGCCACCAAACCCGGCGTCGCTACTTCTACGAGCCCTCGATCGGCGACTACTACTACGGGCAAGGCACCCGATGAAGCCCACCGGCATCCGGATGGCCCACTCCCTCGTCGTCCACTACTCCTCCACCAACTCCTCCAGATCTCCCGTCTTTCCCGCCTCCCGCCGCCGACATCCGCCGGTTCCACTCCGACGACTACGTCGACTTCCTCTCCTCCGTCTCCCCCTCCTCCCTCCCCGTCCGACGCCTCCTCCGACGACGCCAACAGCCGACAACCGCGATTCTAAGATGCTGAAGAGGTTCAACGTCGGCGACGACTGCCCGGTCTTCGAGGGTCTGTTCGAGTTCTGCCAGGCGAGCGCCGGGGGCTCGATAGGGGCAGCGGTGAAGCTGAACAGGGAGGATGCGGACATTGCCATCAATTGGGCCGGGGGATTGCATCACGCCAAGAAGTGCGAGGCGTCGGGGTTTTGCTATGTTAATGATATCGTGCTGGGGATTCTCGAGCTTCTCAAGTTTCACAAGGTAAATTAAACAAAAACCCTAACACTGAGTTTGGATAGAGGTTTTTTTTAGGATGGGAGGGGGAGGGAGGGGGAGGTCTACAATGCTGAGTTGCTGACCCTTCTAACATCGTGTTTCTTTACACTTTTTAGTTGGCAATGGGAGGGGAGGAGAGGGATGAAAATTAGAAAATTCAGCCACTTTCTCAACCCTCTAGAAGTAGACGGATTGGGAGGGGAAGAGAGGGGTTTTAAGTGGTATTTTCTTGAAATTTCAATATTGCTTAATGCTTTATATGAGAAAATCAAAAGGCGTTCTTTCTTATTTTATTAAAAGGGCATACTGGTCAAGCAGCTTCCCTTCCCTTTCAACCCCCCACTCTAAACAAACACATATATTATATTATAGTGTACTCTCTCATCCTCTCGTTGTCTATTCAAACATAAATGAATACATTCCACCCTTTTCCTTTCCGCTCCCTCCCCTTGGGTTTAAGGCAATCACTCCCCTTCCCTTCCCTCATTTGTATCCAAACCGACTGTAAGTGCAAACTGTTTAGTTCTGTATAATTTATGCAATGTGATATGGATTTTATTGTATTGGTTGTCTGCTGAAGAAACTCTGTTTGCCAAATTTATCATGAAATTGCAAAAGTAAAAGGTTTATTCATTTTTTAAGAAACACTAACTTTTTTGAAATTAAATTTGTATAATTAGTTTATATTCTATGTTTTTGAAATGTTAAAGAATAGGAGTAAGTTTTGTGTATGTTGATGAAATGTTGGTAAGATTGCTGCGAGTTAGATATTTCTCAGTAATTTGGGAGTGTTGGGTAGAGTCTTGAGCTCTTCGATTTCAAATTGCCAGTTTGAGTTGCTGAAGACGACGGGCATTAAGAGTACAAAGAAAGCACATAAATCAAGTAAATGACTTAAAAAGGGCTTTTACACAAGCATACCTGATGTTTGAAATAATTCATAATGTGAATGTGAGACTGTTTGTTTCAACAATCTCGAAAGCTGGTAGTTATTTGTCAGAATAATCAAGGTTGCCAGAGGATTATAAAGGCATCCTAGTATAGCTAATATTCTCATCTTATGGTTTAGCAAAGACAAGTTAAAGCCCAAGCTCTTACATCCCAAAGAGGTATCTCCAACCCAAACCAAAGTTCTGAAGCTCATCTAGGCTTTTTAGTGGTTTCAGTGTAATGTCAAAGTTCATATTTTTAATGAGGAGCAGGGGAAAAAATGTAATGTGAAAAAGAACTGAACACCGAGCATATCATTGTCTTAGTGAAAATTATAGAATTAGGCGTTCTTAATTGATATTACGATATCTATCCCAAGACAGTGTAATATTCAGAAATGTTTGGTGTCGGAATACAATATGATAGATCTGAAAGGTATATAGGTTAAATCAGACCCAATCTATGCAGACTATGCCCCATTGTTCATTCCTGACATTGACCTGAATTTAAAAAAATCTCAAAAGGGAGGGGGAGAGAGGCACGTCGCCCAGTTTGTGCCGTCCGCTGTCTTGCCCTTTGAACACAATAACAGTAAGGTTCAAATACTGAAAACCCTAAATATCCAAAAAAGGAAAAGTGGGGGCAAACAAAATCATCCTCCTGTTTGTCTGTCATGTAAAATCAACCTCCTGTAATATCAACGAGGGACTCTTGATCAACTGAGAATTTGTGGCATTTGTAGGAAACCTATGCTTCTTGCGAAGGGTTGAAGCTCCTTTCTCTTCGTCGATTTGAGATCCATCTCCAATTGAAGATAAGACCTGATTACTTCTAACTTCTAAGAGGGGGAAATCAGTAGCCGGCTTCTTGTACTTATGTGTTTATTAGGATTAAAAGAAAAAGGAATACCTTATGAAAGAGAGATTTTGAATGGCAGAGTGGGGGAGAGGGAGGGAACTTGCTTTTTGTTTCCAAATGAATTGAGTTGTGTTGCTTGTCTTCTGTGTGTTCACGGTTACATTATTTTATTTAATGAAATTTCAATTTATTAAGAAAAGATATTCTAGCGCTGTAGCGCGCAAGTGTTACTAGTAGGAAGATAGGTTAAATGGTTTAAATATGTATAGTTAAGGGTGGTTTTGTCATATTTACAAATAAATAGTATATATGACAATATACTAAGAAAAAATCCTTACAAAAAGTTGAGGTGTAACTTAAAATTTTAATTATAAATGCGGAGGGAAATTGTCAAATATAAAGATATGGAAGGTAAATTGAAATTTTTGATAGTATATTAGTATAACCAGGAGGAATTTACAATGGGAACATAATATGTTTCTTGTGCCAATTTAGGTTAATTTTAATTTTTAGAAATGAATAGGATTATGAATTCAGGCATCTGCAGATGATAAATATAAATACACATATGTGCACATAAAATTAAAATGTAAAATTATAAATTTAGGGGAGTATCCCTAGGACGGCATTAATTTTGACTTGCATATTATGAAGCTGGTATATAATATTGGTAGACTGCTAGTTGTTGCATGAGCTTGAGTAACAAAGTTGGTCCTCTACAAGCTGGTTGCTTTTGATTTTTAGAGGCAAATCCTCTTCTGAAAGGTTGCCTTAGCTGGAAATTTTTCATGTCAATTATTGACAGCCAGTTAGAATTCTTGTAAAATTTTTACCGGGTTATGGAATGTTTCAAATACTGCTTTCCCAGCAGTGTGCTACTTTTTTGTTGGAAAATTTCTAGCATGAAGGTGGTGCTTACACCTCCCATTCACCCGATAGGAAAAGAAACACTCTTAGGACCTACAAAATCAGTGTTTTGGGTGCATCAAAACCTCCTCTGCAATGGCTGGTTAATTAACAGAAAAGATTCTGTTGCCACCAGAATTGGCGGTAGAGGGACTTGAACTTACAAATCCCTCCAGCTGGCAGCCTGACCAGTACACCTACCTCTAGAGGTGTGAAGATGATTTCAGTTCATGCATCATTCTCATATCTTTTAAAAGTGGGTTCCTGATTCTGCAATATACACTGTTTTAAAAAACCTCCGCCTAGTCCGCTTAGGCGTACGCCTAGGCCTAGGCGGTATCTAGGCCGTCTAACTAGCGCCTAGCGCCTAGGCGGTATTTAGGCTGCCCACCTAGATTTTACGAGCGTTTAGGGGAGCATTGTCTGCTTACGTGGATTGCACCCTGTAGGCATTGATTGTGATTTTATGTGTTGTAGCCTAGACGTCCTCTAAACTCCATTAACCTCCAAATATGAACATATCCACTACCTCCTCCGACCTTCAGCAAAACCTCATCGACCACCACTTAAATGAAGAAAGAAAAAAAACGCTCAGAAACCGCTTAGGCGCCCGCCTAGGCGCCCGCCTAGGCGACTAAGCGCTGGGCGCCAAGTCCGACGCCTAGAAGCGCCCAACGTTTAATGTAACATTGGCAATATAAGAGCTGTCAATGCTTCAAAAAATTTATTGTATTCCTTATTCCATGCTTGGCTTCGTCTGTTTCTTTCCTCTTGTCTTCTTTACTGTCATCATCATCTCATATTTATACAAATTCATGTCTAGTATCTTGAGTTCTACCGGTCTTGCATTGTGGAATCAAACTGAGGAAAGCTCCATGCACTTAATTTGATGTTCTCTACTGGGTAATTTATTCTGTATGTGTTTCAGTAGTGTTCAGATCACTATTTTTGTGATGTCTTCTATATTTGGACTTTTAGCTGATTCTGTTGATGGTCAGCGTGTGCTATATGTAGACATAGATGTCCACCATGGAGATGGCGTTGAGGAGGCTTTTTACACTACTGACAGAGTCATGACTGTCTCGTTCCACAAATTCGGGGACTTCTTTCCTGGGACTGGGCATGTCAAGGATGTTGGCCATGGGTCAGGAAAGTACTATGCTTTAAATGTTCCTTTAAATGATGGGATGGATGACAATAGTTTTCAAGGTCTTTTCCGACCGGTCATTCAAAAAGTCATGGAGGTGTATCAGCCTGATGCAGTTGTCCTGCAATGTGGCGCAGATTCCCTTGCTGGAGATAGGTTAGGTTGTTTTAATCTTTCAGTTAAAGGGCATGCAGATTGTCTACGGTTCCTTAGATCTTTCAATGTGCCACTTATGGTCTTGGGTGGCGGAGGCTATACAATTCGTAATGTTGCACGCTGCTGGTGTTATGAGGTTTGTGAGATATCAGATGGATTTCTAAACCTCTTTTGTAGTTCTGTCCTGAATATAATTATTGTATTTTACGTTGTATATAGACAGCAGTTGCAGTTGGAGTGGAACCGGAAAACAAATTACCTTATAATGAATATTATGAGTACTTTGGTCCTGACTACACTTTGCATGTTGCACCATCACCTGCAGAAAATAAGAACACTGCAAAAGATCTGGAGAAAATGAGGTATTTGTTGACCTTTCTCTTTTTCATGTGCTCATTAGTTCTTTCTTTCTTTCTTTTTTTCCACTTTAATCGCTCTGTTTCTTGTATCATATGCAAACACATTCTACAATGTTACATATACTTTGTTTTCAATATATTTTTCTGTTAGATAGTCTGTCTTTGATATTCTTCCATTCAAAATGTGGCCTCCTTCGATCATTTGACTTTAGAAACTGAAATGAATACATATGATAGCAAAGTTAAAATGTGTATTAGGCATTCTCTATGAAAAAATCAACTTCGTTAAAGAATGATCTAGATTTAGGTAATCAGCAGCTTACAATTACATTATTACTGTATTAATTCGTTAGAGCAGTGTTCCACCTGCTTGAGCAGTTGCTTTTTTATCTAATGAACTGCTACCCTGGTTTTCTTTTACAGCATACTGGACTGAACTGCTTTGCTGCTCATGTTTATAAAGACATTGACATTCTACATGGAACAATCATGTTATAGAGTTTATTTACTTTCTAGGAAACCAGAATTCATGCTGTAAATCTAGTGACTTTTTCTTGGTCCTCAGTCAGAGATACCTTATTATGGAAACAAGTAGCTAATGCCATTTTGCTTTTACGAATGGAAAATTCCAGTAGAAGATGCAAAGTGAGTATAATACTGGTTTAGGGGTTTGGAAAAAGGTATTTGGAGGTAACAAATTGCGTTGAACATTCTTTCTGTATCTGCCTCATCAGCTTCTTGGTGTGTTGAGTTTAATTACATCATTGCTCTTCTGAAGTTTGTTAGAAAAGATATTCAGAGAGAAAAAGTTTTGTTCCTTCAATTGTGTTCTTTTGTCTCTCAAACAACACGACTTGCTTTATGCAGGACTGTGCTACTTGAGCACCTTTCAAAAATACAACATGTTCCAAGTGTGCAGTTCCAGGAGAGACCACCAAATACAGAACCTCCTGAGGAGGTATTACTTCACTGTCAGATTATCTGGCTCTTTTGTGTGTTTTTCATCTAAATCATATGATTTGATTGATATAGGAAGATGAAGATATGGATCAGAAACCAAAACTTTGGAATGGTGAGTATTATGATTCTGAACCTGAGGACCGAATATCATGACGTAAACATGGATGATCGCTCCTCTGGGAATTTTTGACACATGGTAACTGCTCCTTTCTTGTCCCCTTGAACACCCACAATGGACTAGTCTAATTTGTGTTGGCTTTCCTGTCAACCATCGTTGAGCAGCCCTTTCATTTTAGTAGTTTGAATAGACTTGTGCATTACATAATGCATGTAAGCTTGAATTCCTACTTTCAACAACCAATGATGTAAGGAGGGACTAAAACTCAGATTTGATTGGTTATTCTCCCCAATGATAATTTCCACAAGAATTCTTAATGATTTCATTTGTGACATCTTACTTATAAGATGACACACATCAATTGATGTCCTTTAGGTTTTTTAACTATTTAATAAGTAGCGTTGTCTTTCTTTTTAATCAATTTGTACATATTTTTGCGTTTTGCAAATTTTTGCATTACGGAGTATGGAACAAGGAAATACCAATTGATTGTTTGAGCTATCCATGTAAAACAACTTTTTTTCTTAAAACTATAAATATTAGCACATTGATTCAATTTTTTAAAATTAAACTACTATATAAATACACACACACACACACACACACACACACGAACTTAAGCACACAAAATTCTCCGGAGAACTTGTATGTCTCACACGTAGTACGAGGAGCAAGAGCAAAAGAAATGAGACATGCCTCACTTGTATATAAAACAAAATATGGGCCAAAGACAAAAGGCTTCTGAAGAGAAAAGAAAAAAGAGTTAGCAGTTTCTACTTCCTAGCATATGTCGTGCTCATCCTATCCAACCATAGGAGCCGTTGAACAGGGCGAGGGAGTTCTGAAATCTGAAAGAAGTATTGCATCTCATTCAAGGAGTGACCAAGTTTGAATGAGATATCAGCCACAGTGTTGCCTTCATGGTAGCAGTGAGCAACAGGGATGGTTTGTAGATAATGGCGCATCTCACGCCAACGATGGTGCAGCTGCCAACATGGGCTATGTTCCCCAATCAAAGCAATAAGAGTCTTAGAGTCAGTTTGAGCACTGGTGGGGTGTAGGCCAATTTCAGATGCCATTTCATCCCCAATAGTTAAGGCATGTATTTCTCCGTGAAGACTAGTGCCATGACCTATTGGACCAGCAAATGCACAGAAAGACCACCCATGTGATTATGAATGATGCCACCAACTGCCAAAGAATTGGCACGACAAGACCCATCTACATTTAGAGCATATGTGTTAACAGGAGGTGGAGACGAAGCATAACTGTGATCTTATGAATCTCTGATAGGAGAGGTCCTGGGAGTAATGCCAATTGGAATCAAGGAGTCAATGCCAAACTTAGATGATTGCATCATAGGCTTGACAAGGTGATCAATATGCTGCAAGGAATCTATAATAACCAATCTAGCATGCAAGGCACCCTTTGACCTTTGTCATGCCCTTATAAATAATATTGTTTCTGAAACTCCAGATCTGTCTGCTTATAGCAGTACAACCAAGACTACCCAGAATTGAGAAATGAGATTGTCCATTACATTTCCAGGACGACCATCTAATTCTGGAACGAGCTGATTGAAGAGGAAAATAAGAAACAACAAAAATAGTACCAATATATTTCGATATAAACTGGGCAAGCTCATTCTACATGAATAAATAATTAACGATTTCAACCTGGACAGCAGCACAGTAGACACATTTGGAGGCCATGGATGTGCCAGATAGGTAAAATGTTATTAAAGATCCTCTAGCATAACAATTTAGCAGATAGGGGCATGACAGTAGATCAAATCTCTTGAAGAATATGAGCGTTGTGTGGTCTGATAGCATTCCATGCAGACTTGGTGGAAATATACCAGCCTTATCAGCTGTCCGGTGTGTCAAATCATCATTCTCTGAAAGTCTGGGGATATTCTCAAATAGGGCATGCACCACCTCGGGGCTAAGAGATGGAATGAGATCATCAAATACTAATGGCCATCAGAGTTGAAGTCTTTGTGTTTAACTTTGATAACCTCATTATCACTTAGGAGAGCAAAATTAAACGCAGGGTGCCAATTGGCAAACTAAAAAGTAAAAAGAGATGTTACCTTTACCTACAGTCGACGCACACGAGTTGGGGAAGGAGTGCTTTTAGAGATAAATCTTTCCATTCCTTGGAGCAGCACAAGGGGCTAGTCCACTCAGTGGAGAAGAATAATTCTGTATTTTGTCTGCATGAATCCGGCCCATATAGAATTAGACATAAAGATCATCCAATATTGTTTTAGCAAAAAAGCTTTTTTGATATGAATAAGTCACTTGATACCAAGACCACCCTCACAAACAGAAAAGCATAGTTTATGCCATTGCATCTAGTGTTTCCTTTTACCATATTCAAAGGAACCCCAAAAGAAATCTAGCCAAGAGAGACTTGATAGAGTGGATAATAGATTTGGGAATAGAGGTGGCAGAGAGGAGGTGAATAGGTATGCTGCATAGCACATGTTTAATGAGAATCAGTCTACAAAAATTGCTAAGAAGTTTAGATTGTCATCCATGTAGCCTCACGGTGATTCTGTCCAAGAGAGGTTGGTAATAAGCCACTTAGCATTGACCAGGGCTAATAGGAACACCAAGGTATTTAATAAAGAACCCGCCTCTTGAAAACTTGAGAGTTTTTTCAACAACTCACTCTATCAAGGGGCCTTAACTGGAAGTTGGAATTGGCACTTAGAAAAGTTCAGTCTTTGACCAGAGGATAGTTGGTAAGTGTCAAGTAATTTTATCACTTTGAGGAGGGAGGATCTGACTGCATTCATGAACACTATGATATCGTTTGCAAACAGTAGATGAGAGGGGCATATAGCTAGGCTAGTAGAGTACCCAGCCATTGGAGGAATAAGAGAATCTCTTTATCAAGAATAAATAGACTTGAAGATAGAGGATCTCCTGGTCTAAGGCCTCTATAAAATTGAAAGTGGCCTTTATACACCCTTGAAACACCACAGAGAAGTGCCAGTTGCATACAAGCCTGAATGAGCTTTATCCAAACATCTGAGAAGCTAAATTTCCGTAAGATAGCCCAAAGGAAATCCCATTCAAGCATGTCATAAGCTTGTTCGTGTCTAGGTTAAAGATAATATTAGGATGCTTCTTTTTTTTGTCTATCTCTCTACAAATCTTCTGAGCGAGAGCAATATTATCTGGTATGCACCTGCCTCTTACAAAAACACCTTGGTTAGGAGAGATCGGCATGGGTAGCACATTAGCCAGTCTAGCACTGATAGCTTTATCAAGGAATTTATAGGAGGTTGTCCACGGACTAATTGGTTTGAAGTCATTGAGGCTACCAAGGTGCTGTTTTTAGGAACAAGGACCAGAATGGTACGAGTAAATGCATTCGGCAGCTGTTTACATTGCAGAAACTAATTTGCAGCCTCAAGTAGAGATGAGCACACAATATCCCGCATTGATGTAAAGAATGCAGATGAAAAGCCATTAATTTCAGCAGCACTATCATGAGAAATTGAGAAAGTGACAGAGTAAATTTCCTCTATAACGCACGATCTTAGTAATATGGGATTAGTGTCTTCATTGACCAGAGTGGGAACAATGTTCAAAAAATGGTCGTCTAAGTTGTGGGTTTTAGAGCTGAGGAGTTGATAGAAATATTGAATGGCAGCAGAATTAGATGAAGTATCCCCATTTGGACTAGTTATAGAATCAATCCTGGATTGGACATGTTTGCTTTTACAACGCCATGAAAGAAATGGGTATTAGCATCCCCTTAGGCCATTTATTTCTAGATTTTTGTTTCCAAAATGTTTCTTCACAAAGACAAGCAAAATGTTTCTTCACAAAGGCAAGCTTCCATCCATTTAGCTTTATAGTCCATCAGCTTACCGTAAGTACTAGAATTCCAAAAAATTTACAACATAAGATAAAAAGACTTAATTTTAGCATCCGGAGCAGCTACACGAATCAAAAATATTACCAATGAAGGCAAAGTTTCATTCCTTGAGGGACTGTCTTAGCTCTTTAAGTTTGAGATGAATGTTAAGTAAAGGAGATGGAGGCAAAGATTTATTCCATACCTTAGAGACAATGGCTTTGAACTCAAGTTGAGTACACCACATATATTGGAGACACCAATATAGGACCATTGTAGGGATCAATGCACCAAGATAGGAGAATAGGGGAGTGGTCAGAGAAATTCTTTGGTCAGAAGAGTAGCAGAAAGGCCCTCAGAAAGTAGTAAATTAGATTGTAACACTATCAAGCACTTGTTAGGTTCTTCTCAAGCCCTTTATGTTATTGCACCAAGTGTATTTTCCTCCAGAAGTAGGAATAAAGGCTACTTGACAGTTATCAATGCATTAATTAAAATTTCTGTATAGCCACTGCCCACTGGTTGAGGGAAGACACACTCAGTTCTTTCACCACGAGCTCTTATAGTATTGAATTCTCCGCCCTAAATCTACGGACCAATATTCTGATCATGTATCATTCTCAAATGGCTCCATAGTTCTTGTCTTTTTTGTAGATGGTATGTTAACCATAAATAGCCGATAAGGTAAAACAATGCCCTCTAATATCAACAGACACAGTGATACATTGTGTATTAATCAAAATAGGATTCACCTTGACTCCTTTCCAAACAACCCAGATTTTGCCACCATTAAATTCATTAGTTAGCCAATTCGACTTCTCACAAAAAAGTGAAAGGGTCTAATGTATCTGCTATTAACAAAAGGCTCAGTTATTATGAATGAAAAAGGTCTATGAATATAAATAAATTGCCTACACTATCCAAAGGTGTTAGGGTTACCAATACCCCTCCCATTCCGAAATATAATATTTATACTATTAATTGAGAGAGGAGGCTGGGTCTTTCCTGACCGTGAGTTGCACATTGAGGGGCTGCTTTGGGTGCCTTTTGTTCTTCTTGGAGCTTTGAGGAGCTTGCACTGATTTAGATAAGAGTTCATTAGAGGAATGACATTCAAGGGAAGTGGATTATGTGTTGTCTTGATCCCCTTCAGAATCCTAAGTATCAAGGGACAAAGACCTATAATCATCATCAAGGTCCTAGGC